CAACTATTATCCTCATTGAACTAGTAGAGATAGCTAGGTCTTAGTCCCTCGACAAACTATGGAGATAGTTCCTCAACAAACTATGGGATAAAGTTATATCCCCGTGCACCAGAGGGTAGCCTAAATATCATATGAATTTTTCTCTACTCCCAATCCTTAGGCGAACTTCCACCATTGATCATGCCATAGATAAGACTCACTCTTTTCACTTTTTCCTTTACTCATTATCAGAATTAACACATTGGGCTCACGATCAAGTGCTACCCAAATGTACATCAATTTTTTATCTTTTACTTATATCACATATACCTATTTTTCAATCACAATTGATCATCATTTTCTCAACATTATTCTCACTTATCTCAAAATTCACTTCTCATTTACACATAATTACCTCTACACCATATCATGTTCATTTTTCAAAAGCATAGGCATGTTCATAGTTTGAAAACCTTCTTGACTTTACATTTTACATTTCAAGCCAAAATAACATTATGCAAATTCAAATTTTCATACACTCATTGAAATTAATACATGATTTCTCATTGAAAATCAGGCCCATGTATGTAACATTCACAATTCACATTTAACAATCAATTAACATTTAACTACCCAAAGTAAAGTTCTCCCGGTTACCTCAAACTTTTAAAAAGTCAAAGGTTTACCCCTCAATCTACTAGCTTCCAAGCTTGAATTTTTCAATTCAATAGGTGACCAAGAGCCAAACACTACAATCAACCAAGTTGAATTTATCAACATTATCATCTCAAGCATTGAGCCTCAGTTTCCACTTCTAAATTTCCCAACATTCACTCCACAAGAATTTAAGCCTGTCCCTTAGGTTTAATTATTACCTTTAGTCCCTAATAGTATTAATGAACCATTAAATTCCTATTAATGGCATCACAATCTTCCAACTACCCATAAAAAATGAGATTCTCGGATATTAATGGTGCCCGACAACCTAAGACACCAAAAATTGATTATAGTAGGTTTAGACACTCTAATCTACTCTCATTAACTTCACTTGAGTCAATAAATTTAGACCATAACTCATATGGACTAAAAATCCACTTTTACTATCAAATCCTAACTATAAACTCATAAATGTGGAAAAGATAGAGAGATTAAGGAGTGTGGTACTTATCTTGGGTGTTTGTAACCTTTAAAATACTCCTAATATCGTTTACTAGCAAACCCTAGTAGAGCATTGGCTCGTCTCTCCGTTTTTTCTTTTCTCTTCTTTCTTCTTCTATCTCATTTTTGCAACTGATATTTGTAGAAAATGACCATGTGCCATGGTGCATGGCACAGAAGGGTCTTCCCTCACATTAGAAGTGTCTGTGCATCGTAACAGATGATCTCCACGCCATGGCGTATGGCACAGCAACATCACTCTTCATTTTCTTCTCCTTTTGATGCCCGGGTGGCTCACCTTGATATCGAACCCACAATTAAGGCTAAAATATAATCAAATATGCTCATTAGACCTCCCTAGCCACATACCACCTTAACTTACTTAATTATCCTAATTAGTTTTAATAAAGCAGGCGATTAAAAATTAGGATGTTACATAAAGAATTAGAGTCTTTATTTTAATCACTTATGATGATAGACTTTCTACCAATAGTATGAGAAGTTCATAGACTAATTGTTCTCCACTTTATACATGTTGCAATTTTAAAGAGGAAGATATCTTTCATATTCTCTGAGATTATGGTTATGCTAAACAAATTTGGCGTGCATTCCTTCCCACTAAGTACTATCAGATCTTCTTCTCTCTTAAATTGAAATATTGTATGGCATGGAACCTTAAGCCACCCTTAAATTATGGGATCTATCAGAGTTGGAATCTAATTTAGGGTGTGACCATCTAGAAGTTATGGAAATGGAGGAATGGTTACACCCTCCAATAGAAATTTCATAAGCCTAATGGCCCCACAGCCGACATTCTCAATACTTAGAAATCCTTTATTCTAGATAAAGATAATACAGAAGGTAACAAGGAAGACATTGCATCATCAATGGCTGTAAGGGTGTCCTTTAAGATAGTAACAACTTTTGGATTGTTGGCTTCTTTATCTGTCTTGGTATTTGTGGCCCCTTTGAAGTAGTGGAGTAGGCAGTTTTACAAAGTCTTTGGCTAGTAGGGGATATGGGCTTTAAGAAAGTAATGATCAAATCAAATTGTCAAATCCTAATGGATCTGCTCAATGGAAACCACAATGGTTTATACATTGGAAGCCTAGTTTTCTTGGGGGATTCAAAACTTACTCGAGTACGAGTAGAATGTACATTTCAACTTCACTTCTAGGGAGCAAAATATGGCTGTGGATTTATTGGCTAAAAATGAAATTTCACACTCTTTTCTTTTTGATTTAGCCCCTTCATTTTTTAGGGACTTAATGTTGAATAGAACTAGGAGTAAGGGTTAGGCCTGGAGGCCCTGTTTAAATAAAGATTCAAGCTTTGAAAATGAATTTTTTTAAAAGTAATCGAGCTTGAGTGCTTGGCCTTGATAAGCTTTATAAAAAAAGGCTCAAGCTCGAGTGGCCCTTCAAGCTGTGTTATGTTATATTATTACTATTTCCTTTGGTGCAACACATGTTTGAAGCCAATAACCTGCTCACTTGATTTTACATACATTATATTATTATTAATTTTAATTTATTCTAAAATTAATTTAATATAATTTAATAAATATCAATGTATAGTATAAAATTTTTGATATTTTTATTTTTCTATATTATTATGTTTGTATATTTAAAAAAAAAACTATTTTTTAACCAAGATTTAAATTTTATTACTAGACTTCTAAATGTGTGTTGTTTAATTTCTAAAAAATTATGAGAATTTTAATTTTTTTTAATTTTAGAATATTTTAATTAATTTATAATGTTTAATTTTATTTTATTTTTTTATTTTTTTGAAAAGGTGCTTGCGAGCTTGGCGCTGAATCCTTCACATAAGGGCCGAGCTTGAAAAATGGATTCAAAATAAAAAATCAGACTTTAGAGCTGAAGCCCTTAAGGACTGAGCTCGTCCGTATTCTTAACTCTAGTATTGAAAGATAATTTGAGATCCGGGCCCCTATTTATGTTTGACAATTAATGTAATCTAGGATTATTCCTCCTATCTGCGGGGAAAAAAAAAGCACATATGATTCTAGAGGATATTAACAGAAATCTGCAACAAAGACCATTTTCCTTAAGTTCTTAATCAAGCCTTTTAAAATAGCACCAGATAAGAGCATCTAGAAATTATGGGCTTTTAATATAGGCAAATCATTTTCCTCAAGTTACATAAACAACCGTGCCATGTGATATCAGTAATTCAAGCTTGAAAATGTTGACGTCAGTAGTGATACATAACAAATGAATTCACTTAATCATATAGTATACATGGTGGTACCAAAATGACCTGGTTTAACAAGAATCTAAACATATTTGCGGGCCTTCCTTTAACATCTCATGCCTTAGAGTTGAAATGGTCCTTGAAATAGAGAAAGGTGAGGACAGACTAAATCACAATCACCGTATGTAAAAGTTCATACTTGTTTATCTTAAATAACTTCTAAGCGCAAGTCAGTCCATATCTGTGTAACAAATTTCAGCAAATTCTGGATCATCATTAGGACATGACAAGGCATAGCAGCAAGGTCAGGCAAACACATACTTGATTAGAGTTAAAAGGTAATTTCGTAGCATCACTCCTTTATTGTACCTTGATGGATACTAAATCCTATCTTCCTTTAGGCCATATGTAAATTAGACTAAAAGCATCCTTCCTACCAATTAGGACAAGGAAAAAAAAAAAATCAGAAAATCCAGTTAAACCAACAAAATCACGAACTATACATTTGCAATCTTCAACTCAAGATAAAAAGCTGCAGCAGAAGACAACGAAGAACTGGAGCTGTTAAATTCTTGTCCAAGTTATACACTAGAGCTACACAAAAAATAAGATGGTATTAGACTTCACCCTAACTCAAAATCCAGTTTCTTTCATAAAAAGGATTGGGTTAGCAACTTGTAGTCCGGTTTTGTTCAATGATAATTCGAAGATTAATAGAATCGAATTTGGTCCATACAATTAAGAAACTAGTTTTATCAGTCCAGTACTTGCTTAGCTTTTTTTTTTACCCCTTTTTTTTTTCTATGAAAGGCAATAATCCATTGCAATCTAATAAACTCAATTAACATAATAAAAATACTTATAATAATAATAATAATAATAATAATAATAATAATAAATCTATAATAATTTTTAACAATGAAATAAATATTTCTGTTATAGTTCAAATGATTTAAATTTATAACTTTAACAAAAATAACACTCAACAAACTTCAATAACACTACATTACAATAATAATTTAAAAACAAAGTCAACAAATCTTCATACAATCATCTCTTTAGTATCAATTATACTTGAAGCATTTGTTAAAAATAAATTAATTATAATTATAATAAATAAATTAATAGGATTAGATTAGATCAAGTGGTCTAAATGCTTAGTTTCTTATCCAGTTCAATCTGAAGAAGTAATTTGGTCTTTTCAATATTTTTAATCCTGAAGGACTAATGTCTATATGAATCAAATAAGATTAAGACCATCTCAATTGGATTAGATCATACAGGATTGAAGGATTTTGCATATTCCTGTTATACAGAAAGCCAAGTGCTAATTGCCTAGCATAAAAAAAAACAAAAAACAAAAACAAACAAAGCCAGACCTCTTTTCGAAATACGTCTTCCATGGACGATTAAATTTCTGGTTAAGTTCCTTTTTCTAGTAACTTTTCCGATTTTTATTTATTGTAATTCAATTTTAACTTTTATTTTGCAAAGAGTGATCACTCACGGTCACATGCTCACTCCCTAGCCAGTAACTGCTGCTCCATTCCCTTCCAAAATGGGCGTACTCGCCAATGATCTTCCTGGCCAATAGTAGCCAGTGTCTCTTTTTGTTTTCGGATGATTGGATGAGAAATCGTTTCAAGCCAATAAAACGCTACAGGAAAGTTGCGAAGCTCCCTCGCAGAGATTGTAGCCTGTCACTGTCCACTCCACTTTTTTCAATATTTTCATCGCATCCTATCATGAAATAGGATTCTATAGCTACCCACAACACCATCCTCATTTCGCAAACTCGCTTTTCCACTTTCTGAAATCACAAGCAGAAGCTCACAACAATGGCCTCCTTTTCTACCCCTACTCATCTTTCCACCACTTCTTCTTCCTCATATGCCAAACCCCATCTTATCCGTAAGCCTTTTACTGCCTCTCTCAAACCTAAAAACTCTCTCTTTTTACTCTCTACTTTGAAAGCTTCGGCTGACAATGGGGTCGGAACTTCAGCTGCCACCCAAGTGGAACCGCCTCCTCCGCCGCAGCAGACGGCCTCCGAGCCTCCTTCTCCTCCGCCGGCGTCTGAGAACCTTGAGGGCTCTGTGGGAACCAATGGATCCGTTGCTGCGGTGGCCGAAGAAGCAAAGGTGGTCGCTAGTTTGAACTTCAAGGATGACAGATGGGTTAATGGGACATGGGATTTGAAGAAGTTTCAGAAAAATGGTAGTACTGATTGGGATGCTGTTATTGATGCTGGTGAGCTTATGAGATTTGCTTTTTCTCGCTAAGTTATTGTGCTTAGTGTGTTGATTAGACATACGTTGTTAAATGATTAGTTTGAATTGATTGAATACACATTTTGGTTTCAATGGGGTTTTGTTCATATTTGAAGTTTGTAGTGATAATACTTGAAAAAACTATCCATTTGATTAGCTTGAATCTTGGATGACAAAGTAGATATATTTTCTCGGGATCTCTGAACTCAGGTTATGCTTTAGGTTCATCTTCTTTTGCAAATATGCCAATTCATATGCTTCTCAAGCTTCAAGTTGATGAATTTGATGCCATTTTCTCTGTTGCCCGTTCCTATTACGAGGTCCTGAGACATTCTTTATGAACCCAGAAAAAATGATGAAGAAAATGGAAGAAGAAAAGGATTTGGGGCTTTTGGGTGATTCTCTCGTGCGCGAGTCAGATGTAGTGATACCGTCTATAGAAGTTTACAAAATTTTGTGATCAATTTAGAAATTTACAAATTGAACACACTAAAAAAACAGAGAGAAATAGAGAGAGGAGTGAATGAGGATAAAGAAGATAAGCAGATCTCATGTACAATTTCACTCTATGCTGTCATTATTTCGTTGAATGTGCTTGATTGCATGACATTAGATGATCCAATTTGTATCTGTTTCTAGTCTCAAATCTCGGAGATATTTAATGAAGAAAATTGATTGATTGATTGCTATAACTTGTGTCAAGAATTCCCCTGAGAACAAAGTAAGCCTTTTAAAAAAGTCCCAAGATGTAGCCTCTTTCACTAAGTAAATAAGAATAAGTTTGTTCACAGATTAAGAAGATTTGGAGCAAGGACTTGACTTATGTGTCATTAATTATTTCTCGTTTCTTTTTAGACAAATTCTGAACGTCTTGCTGGATTGGTCAAGGTGATTTGTGTTAATTACCCAGTTAGTTGGTGACCCTAAAATCTATATAAGGGATCTCGCGTTGTATTAGAAGTGAGGCATTTATTGAAGTGTTGCTCCCTTATTGTCTCACCCCATAGGTTTGGGGGTTTGGTTCGATGCTCTTAAGGAAAGGGTTATGTTGTTTTCTTTGTAAATCACCTTGGAAGGATTTGTCATTCTCATTGTCATTTGTTGGGTTGATTAATGAAGATTTTTATCATTTTGTGGTTAATGTTCCTTTTCCTTTAATATCTTAACACGGCCTAATCTAAAGTATTTGCTTTGCTCTTTGTTTACAGAGGCTAGGAGAAGAAAATGGCTTGAGGCTAACCCAGAATCATCCAGCAACGAAGATCCTGTAGTTTTTGACACCTCCATTATACCTTGGTGGGCATGGATGAAGAGGTTCCATCTTCCAGAAGCTGAACGGCTTAACGGTTTGTTCTTATTTGTTTTCTGAAGTGAAACTAAAATGAGGGAAAACCCCCCCTCCCCCGACACAACTACATGTTCCTGTATTTTGATTGGGTTTTGTTTTTTATCCCTATGGGTTATTTCATTGCTTCCAGTCCCTTTACTTTGATCAGTCTATAATGTTAGTTCCTATGATTTTAAAAACGCACATAAAAGCCATGAGGAGATAATTTTGTTAAAAAAAATGTAAACGGAAATAAATTGACTAGGCATAATTAAAAATGAAAGGTAAATAATAAAAAAGCTTTTTTTATATTTGGTTCAAACAGAATGTGAGAGATGAAAGCGAGTTTAAGCACACATCAGCAAAGGGGTTAACAAAGTTAAGCACATGCCAGTAAAATTATCTTTGTCAATGTCAGCTCATGGTCCTTATGGACATTTTTAAAACTATAAAAACTGACGTTCCAGACAGATCAAACTAAAAGGATGGGTAACAGTGAAATAAAATTATAGGATTAAAAACAAAATGCAATCAAAGGTCCCTATTGTTGTATTTTTCCAAAAAAAAAAAGCAAAAAAATAGAGAAAGGGTTTTGCTTCAAAATGTTATAAACATTGAATTCTGTTGTGATCATGTTGCAGGCCGAGCTGCAATGATAGGATTTTTTATGGCGTATGCGGTTGATAGCTTGACGGGGTTAGGCATAGTAGATCAAACGAACAACTTCTTCTGCAAAACTCTTCTGTTTATAGCAGTGGTGGGAGTGCTCGTGATCAGAAAGAACGAGGACCTTGAGAACATCAAGAAGCTTTTGGAAGAGGTCACATTCTATGACAAGCAATGGCAAGCAACCTGGGAAGATAAGGATGATGAGAACTCAAGCAGCTCCAGAAAAGAGTAATGGAATTGCTATATTCTGTAACTGTATCTTAATAGCAGTATTATTATGTTGCTGGTGCAAAACCATGACAGAACATCAGAACATGTTTTAGCCATATAATATAATCTTATACTATAATCCGTAGCCAACTTGGTCTTGTTGCCTTACGCATCTAATGTGTTGTTTGTTGAAAGTTGTTGACTGGCTCTGTTATAGTCTATGGTGATAGAACCACCATGGTTTCTCTGCTTTTTATCGTTCTGAAAGCTGGGAACCGTGAAGGCTGATACAAAGTGGAATCTGAATTCAGTGTGTTGTTGGGGCTGTTCTTTTTGGTTGTAAACCGTCCAGTTTTTGAAGTTGACAACTTTGATTAATTTGAATTGAGTTGAGTAGGGATTCTTTCAAGTAGAAGATCTGCCATCAATGCTATTGTATTACAGGATTTAAACTCAAAATTTCTGATTAAGTTGATCCAACTTTCTTATAAGTTGAACCAAGCGTTTGTTAGTTGTTGAAGCATTTTCTTATTTAAAAATTCTAGGATCAATGTTTCTGGCTTCGTTGGTGCCCAACCCAATTCATTGGTATCGTCTCTTATTTATTAGTGCAAAATCACTCCGAATAAAATAAAAGTACATGTGATTTTTTTTTTTAAATTACCAGAGCAACTAATCTTCAATATATGTGATATTCCTGACTTTTTAATTAAACGGTAAGTTTTGAGATTTTTGTCCCAATTTCTCTAAATGCAAGTATTCAAGTTGGGGGGAAAAAATGAAAGATGAAAGTAATAGAGATGAAGAGAAATTGAAGATTTATCTGCAAGGAATGAATATAATATAATTAATACTACAAAAGAACAATACTAAACATGCTATGGATGTGTCTTGAACGTTGGATGCTGTCGAACTGCAAATCTGATGTAAACCAGCAAAGAGAATTATGGGGGACCTTGACGACAATGATATAAGAAACCAGAAAGAAGGCTGAAATTTTGAAACCCAAGTGTTTGTTTTGTGTCTTTCATTCACGATAGGATGATATTTTGAGTAGTGTCTTGTCTCTTCCTTTTATAGGGTGGCATATGACAATTTTCTCTTAAGTCTTATGTACTTCCATTTTTTAGGGCATCCTTTTCATAGAGTAGGGTCAATATGATTACGATTAAATAATAAAATTTAATTAAAATATATAAAAATATATTCATACATAACACTAAAAATAGTAGTATCTAGATAAAAAAGCATTAATTTACAAATAAATGAAACATTACATCTAAAATACATATATTTCAATCATCATGTTGTTTCATGTTCACCAAAAGGATGGAAAAACATAAAATTAACCCGATCAACTTGTCCAAAACTCTTGAAGATACTGGCTAAGGATTAGTTGATCGATTTAATTCGCCAGCCTAAATTGAGTTCTAACACCATGTTTTTCACACACCTCAGTCGCCACTTTACTGTAATCTACTCCCTTTCTCAGGGAAGCATCCATTGGGTTTGGACCAAAATAAAATCTAGCTATGGAATAAAAAACTAGACGTTTTTTTTCAGACAAATACACAAAAACTAAACATAATATAAAAGATCAACAAATTTTTTTTTTCCTGTTTTCATTTATTTTTAATGTGATTATTTAATTGAGTCAGATTCATCTCCTATTGGGTAGCTCTCCCAAAGTTATTTCCCGCATTAATATAGACTCAAACTCATCATACTTAAACAATCATCACGCATTCCTTAGACTAAAATGTAATGATGGTGTTGGACCCGAGTCCAAAGATGAAATGGACTAAACTTGACAGAGAAGCCGTACACGGGTCTAATAACACCTTTTTGGGGAAAAAGAAGTGTGTGAAAGAGAGTATTCATTTAAATAGAGAATTGATGCTAGAGAGATTATTTAATAATCCATCGTTTAGAATTTATTTTTTTTTAAGTGCAAACGCAGCTCAGGAAAGCTCACATTCATCATTCTTCATCGATCACTTTCAATAATAATAAAAAAAAAAACAAGAAGAAGAAGAAGAAAAGTGAAAGAGGAGATTCCCAAGCATTTTCCACATTTGAATTAGGCTCTACAGCTCGATGGCCTTCAATCAATCATCCCACCAACGTCAGTGCCAACGTTATCCATTTTTAAAGCTTTCAATCCTTCTCAATAAAAACCTCTCCGACAATTACATACATTTCCCCAACAATCAAATAAACCTTAATATATTCTCATCACATTATAATTCATTGTTAATTAATTTACATTTTTTTAAAAAAATTTATATCTTTTCAATCATACTCTTAAATATAATAAATATAATATTTAACTTATTCAAAATATTGATGTTGATTATTCAATCAGGTAAGAGTATAATTAAAAAAATATAACACCTATTCAATATTTTATTTTTTTTATCAAGTAAAGCTTCTAAAAAATGATTTATATTGTGATTAGGAAGGATTACTACTCCATTAAAATAAAACAAAGTTAACAAAATTCATGGATATTAAAAAAATGTTAGTTATAATCTTGAAATTGAAAAAAAAAAATGAATTAAGGAGCACATTTATCTTTAAAATATGCTCGAGAAGTGCCTACTATTCTAAATTAATGAAAAAGGCACAAGGCTAAATGAAAGTAGCTGTTGCTGTAGCACAAGACGATCCAAAGGTTAGAGGCAACTCAGAAGGAGATTGAGGATATGAAGGCTGTTACATAGAATGAGCTTCGCAGATGGTGTGAACGAGAGCAGAAGAAAGCAATAGAAGCTGCATCACATATATTGGCTGAAAGCATGAAACACATATTTCATCAGAATCTCTCCCAAATATTCGACCACTTCTCATCGCTGTTGATGGAGAATCCGATGGTGTCATCGCTGCTTGGAATGCCGAAGTGGAGTCCGGCCTCCGTGGGTCCCACCAGCCTCCTTTGAGCCGTAAGATCTTCCTCATTTGCCTTTTCGCTAGCCTGAGCCTTTTCTGTTTTGTCGCCAATGGCCTTCCTCAACCCGACCCGATGCTCATCCACCATCCCCAAGTCAAGCGTGTCGCCGACTTTCCCTTTGTCTCTTCACTAATGCCTTGTTCGGCAATGATGAGAACTCTCCACTTGCAGGGTCGATGTCTCCAAGGAGGTGATGTGGGATGCCGTTTCATTCAGCCAAAGAAATCTTCTTGGTGATGATGTCGAGTACTCTGTAAACTTGCATTTTGTCTACATTGATAACTTTAGCGTAACACCATAACTTTTACTAATTAAAAGCTTAATCAAATACCATAGTAATGCAAGGGTTTAAGTAAATAAAAATAATTATTATGATATAAAGATTTAAAGTCAATTATCAAATTTATTTTAAAAAGATGCTTGATAGAAAAGAGTTAATCTATATTTTAAAGAGTTATCATAATTATAAAAATTTATCTAATAAATAAATATTTAAAACCTAACAATGGTAGGAAAAGAATAAACTAATTAAAGGGGCTCTCAAGGCTATAAAAGTTTGCCCTTATTATTTAAAACCATACATGACACTTTATCATAATGATTCAAATATTTATTTCAATAAATGTCTTGGCACTTAAAAATTCTATATATGATATAAAATTAATAACTAGAAAATAAAGATATTAAGAGAAGAAATAGAGACAAGAGAATGAGAGAATTTCTGAATTATTGTATCCTTCAATACAAATTACATGCCCTATTTATAAATATAGTTTTACATATCAAAGGTTACACAAATGATAAAAGCAAATAAAAGATAATCAACTCTCATGATAGTGGGAGTTTTATAGGAGGGCAATTAACTCTCATGATGGTGGGAGTTTCATGGGAGAAGATGAAGATGAAGAGGTGATGAAGATGGACATACACTATCCTTATAATATTCATAACAATATATAAATATTTATTCTATGTAGATTCGTTATGCAATTCCTATAAAGATTACATTGAGCAAAGATCTATCGAAGTTTACATTGATGCAAGTTGGGGTGGAACCTATTAAGATTAAAGGTCAACCTCTACCTATTGTTCATTTGTGTGGAGAAATTTGGTTACATGGAGAAGCCAAAAGCAAAGAGTTGTTTCAAGAAGTAGTATTGAATTTGAATTGAGAGCTTAGACTCAAGGAATAGCAAAGGAATTGTGGCTAAAATAAGTCTTGAATGAAATACAGGTTGAAGCAAGTTCATCATTGAAGTTTTACTATGATAATAAGGCTGCTATAAATATGGCCTTAAATCTAGCACAACATGACAAATCTAAACATGTTGAGATAGATTGACACTTCATTAGAGAAAAAGTAAAAGTAGGAATTCTATGCTTAACATATTTGTCTACAAAGTTGAAAGCAACTAATGTCTTAACTAAAGGGTTGCCTAGACCTACATTTAAAAATTGCATAAACAAGTTGGATATAATTAACATCTATGATCCAACTTGAGGAGGAGTGTGGGAATATTTGAATTTATTGTAAATATTATAGCCTGATTATTAGGGATTATGGTTGATTATTAGGAGTTATTAGCATTTATTACTTTGTCTCCCAACGTTGTGTGTATATACTGGTTGTAACACATATTTTAGAATGAATAAGAAATATATTTCTCTCAATTTCCACAAATACAAATTATGTCCCCCACCATTTCTCCCCAGATTAAAGGAACTCTCCTCTAGAGAGTAAAACAATTAACATGACACAAGAAGGCAAGATGTGAGTGGGAAACTCCAAGTAGTGCCTAAAACCATTCTAGCAAACAAGATGATGGTGGACGGCATCAAGTGAAGAGAAAACAATCCGAGCATTTAGGAGTATAACAGTTGTGGTGCGACGGACATTAACTAAGGAAAATCTAGCTAGAAAACCTATTCTCAGTGTTCCAAATAGCATTCAAGTTTAGAAAGCCTTCCCAACAAAGAAGGTACTAGTAAGGAGGATTATCAGATGAGAAAAAAACTTGCCCTTCCATAATCACAACAATTTTCACAGTAAGTGGCATAGATGGACAAGGTGGAACCTGGGTGTGATGAAACCAGGTGCTAACATTAATAGCTTTAGAAGGCACACTTGTCATTGATGAGGATTGGACAATCTAGTTCCTACTAAGCAATTCCTTTCTATTGACTACATTCTAGAACACAAGAAACAGAGTCCTTGCTC